GTCCTCTGGAGATGTGGTTTGCTCACCTCCATTCAGTTACCCCGTAACTGAATGTTGTGAGGGGAGAGGTGGATCAGAGCCTCGAAGGTGTGGGGGTGGAGACGACATCATCAACACTGAACAGTGCAGAAAGTCAGGCTATGATGGAAGGATGGTCTGTTGTGCAAGTCACCACGGAATAATGATCTGGAAACCATATAATTTGCTGTGCCTTGTACCAAGGAATGATCCTCAGCAAAGTGTGGGCCTCTGAGGGATCCAACACTTCAAGATCCCTGTAGACCACTAGCAACAAAATGTGGGTTCCCCTGTATTAAGAATATGCCACTTTAACTCTCTTTAGTATTAATTCCTCTGTGCAACCAGTCCACAACTTGTCCTTCAAGAGGAAAAATAATTGATGAATTTTTCATTAAGGAAATACACAGTAAGTTAATTTCCACAAAGATGACCTGAGTAAGGTGAGTGAAGAAGGGCATTTGCATTGGGGCTTGCTCTTTTAGTAACACCACTGTGGTTCCCTTCATCTCCTCTTTGATTCCCCCTGGTGCACAACTCGAGCTCCTGGGAACTGGTGGCCCAGGACTCAGCCTCTCCAGAAGGTCACAAACTTCAGCAAGTTGCTGACCTGGGGTCTGTTGGGTGTGCTTCCAGCCAGGGAGTGCAGGTGTTTACAAACTGATAGCAACACAGAGCTGGGCAGATACAATCACAGCTGAAATGTGCAATTCCTCCTCATGCTGACAGGATGGAGAGTACTCAAAGCTTAAGAAAAAGCAGTTACAGTCTTCAGGCTAAGGCCTCCTCCCTTGCCCCTAATCAGCAGATCTCCAAGCTGACTTCCACTTGCAGCATCTAGCAATGAAGTCACAGACGGCTACAGGGGAGAAAACAGAAGCTGCTCTCCAAAGCAGGGTCACCAAATGACCTATGGACACAGTTGTTTTGTGCTTGCGACCTGCTGAAGACAGCCTTTGATTTAAACCGTGATTAATTAATTTGTCTTTAAAGATGACCCAAAAGTTCATTGAAAGGAAAATCCCAAACCTCTTGCCCAGAGTATCATGGGGCCTCCTATCATTGCACAGCTTAAATGAAAATGCCAGACATAGCGAATTTGACACATAGAAGATGGGATCTCCTCTTTCCAAAATCCCAACCAGAGGTGTAGTTAGCTCTGCAGGCAGTTGCTCACAGGCTGGGGCTAGCAGGAGAGCCATGTATGTTGTAGGTTTGATCATGAGGCTTTGAGGTAAGCCCAGGGGAAGCATATTCGAGCCTGCAATGACGTGCTGTACAAACAAGAGGATGCATATGGAGGTTGGGGGAGCGTGCTGGGGAGAGGAAGGGATAAAGGAGCTTTGATTCTTGCTCTCAGGCTGTGTGTGCAGCTCCTGGGAACTGCACATCTCAACACGTGGAGCTGTGGCAGAGCAATCTGACCTTGCCATAGCGGCTCTAGAGAGGCCCCAAAACAACTTCGTGTTTAGCAAAACCGCTCAAACCTCTCCAGAGTCCCTCAGAAGGTATGGATGGCATCACGTAACCCTGCTAGTGATTTCCTTAAACTGCACATGGGATTAAAAAACAGTTTATGTATATGTGCTCCAGTGTAATCTATTAACAGTAGAACACATATGCAAATTCCATGTACAACCTGGAAGCAGCAGGATGCCTGGATACGCCAGGTCACCTCAGAGCCGTGTCCTTTCGTTATGCTTATGACTGCATTCCTATAAAGTGCTTCTGACTCAGGCTTTTTAATATCTTGAAGAGCAATGGTGAATGTTAGTGAAATTCTGAGGATACAACAGTTTCTCCCATAAGCCTGCATCCATACCATGGTGTCTGAGTGCATTAACATAATTAAAACAAAGCATGCAGCACAAGAAGGAGTGTTAATGGATGACTTCCCTCACCCTTTACAACCAAGCACCATCTGTCATTTACAAAGAAAGCTGGCTTTTCAACTAGCTTCATTCTTTATTAGCATTTATTATTTCTTATTTCCATGGCAGAAAGCCTTTTCTGGTTCCCAAGATATAATTTGGGATATATAAATCAGGTGGTGCAGAAAAATGTCAGATGTCTGTTGACTAGAATAATGAGTGTTGTTGGTGACTCTGTCCAAGAAATTCACTTATCTCTGGAAAACCTTTCTGAAGTTGGGAAACCCCTGCCCTGACTGACCCTCCATCTACCATCCTATTTTGATTGTCCCCAGGGAGCAAAACCTCTCCTCCTTCAAGATTTCCTTCCCATCTTCTGAACCTTCTCTCTCACCTGGTCCTCACCTTCTCATCTGCATTCCTGTTTGAAACCAGAAATAACAGCAGTCTTTCCCTGGACTTTTCCAAGCTGTATGGAAAGATTGGTTGGTTTACTGTGATTCACTGTTTTCCTTTTTTCCTTCCTGAGTGTTAGACACTACTTGGCAGTGAGAAAGGCGAGGGAAGGAGGAGAGGTTGGGGTGTGGGTCTGAAGCTGGGGCAGGGTGGGACTCTGTACATGATAAAGGAACAGACTCTGCTCCTGGGTCTTGCCCTTCACCACTTCTGATCCTTTTTGGGAAAAAAGCTTAAAAGAAAAAAAAAAAAAAACCAAAACAAACCACAGTCAATCTTTCACTCGAGGCTGCCCGGGTGGAAGCCATGCAATGAGGTGGGAGAGGCAAGCAGCGGGCACGCGCGCGGGGGACAGCCTGTGCCGGCAGGGACAGGACGCGGCGCGGCACGGCGTGGCAGGGCACCGCGCGGGACCAGCTAACACCGAACACCCGGGGCGGGGGGAGGAAGGCACGTGTCAAGCAAACTGAGGCGGTGAGAGTGTCTCTGCATACGAGCGGACAGGCATGCCCCGGGGAAGTGCCATGCTCTGGGGTGGTCACCACGGGGAGCCGTTACCTTCGCTGTCCGAGACAACGCAATGGGCATCGTCCATGCCGTAGCCCTCCTCATGCTTGTATGAGTGACTCCTTGGCACGTCTTTGATGTGCTTTTGCACATCAGGCAACGAGTGGCTGGAGCAGAACTGGGAGCAGGGGTCCCCCGCCGACTGCGGGCCAGGTCCCCCTGCGGTACGCGACCCCCCCACTGCCTTCCCCAGGGGGCTGACGGGGCTCTCCTCCTCCGAGGGCTGTGTGCGGATAGGTGCCCGCCCACGGCTCTGGCTCATGCTGAGGGACGAGGGCTTGGAGCCACCTTTCTGGGAGCGCTCCACACCCTCCCGCTCATAGGACTTGCTCCGACTGCCCGCCTCCCGGCCAGAGGGCTTTTCCACCCCATAGCCAGAGGAGCGGGTTCTGCTGCTGCCAGAGTAGACCCGCTCCTCCTCATCCACCAGATCCCGGCTGGAGACTCCGTAGTACTTCTGCTGCTCATAGACATTCTTCTTCAGGCCGTAGGTGATCTCTTCCTGTAGCTTCTTGGCCCTAGAGGCCACGTTGCTACTGCCAACTGAGGTCGTGGCTGCATAGGAGGCCAGGTCCGACTCCACGTCTTTGGCTTCTTCAATAGGGGAGAACTTGGAGATCTTCTGCTCCATGCCCTGCTTCCTGTGCTTGCTGCGCTTCGAGGAGACGACGGCAGGCGCCAGGTTTTTGGACGAATGCTTCGGTAGTGCCATGCCGGAGCTGTGCTTGTCCGCCCGTGAGGGGTGCCGGTACTCGCTGTCTCCATAGTAGTAGGATGAGCCAGTGGAGCTCCCTGACACCCTGCCATTGCTCTCCATGCCCCGGTGGTAGCTGTTCTTCCCTCGATGGTCGGGGCCATGGTGGTCATAGACATCTTCCTCAGACTCCTCCTCAGCTTTGGTGTAGCAGCAGGGCCGGTTGGAGCCTTCAGTGTCCCCCAGGTCGCTCTTCTCTCTGCCGTGGCGACTGTCAGTGCCTGTGCCCACCAGCTCTGCTTTCGGCCCCTCCACCGCTGGGCTGTCCTTGGTGAGCTCGCTGATGTCCTCAATCATCACATAGTTACGGGGGATGTTCTGCTCCAGGCTGGTGTAGAGGGACTCGGAAGAAAAGCTGGCTGAGGGGCCCTGTGCCACGCTGACTCTCTCGGCCGGCCGGGCCTCGGGTGCCTTGTACTGCTCATAGCCACTGCTTGCCGGCACGGTGCTGAAGGTGACATCGGGAACGGCAGAGGAGCTGGTGGCCACACCGATGACCTCATAGTTGGTGGGGATCTTCTGCTCCAGGTCGGCCAGCGAGGTCTGCCGCGGCTTCTGGTGCCCACCAGCTATGTCTGCTGGGCTCTGGAAGAGGGCGGGCTGTGCCGCCGGCACGGTAGCCACCCCAGCGAAGGCGCTCGGGGCTTGGTAGGGGTTTTGGGGCCGGAAGCCCGGCTGGCTTGGAGTGCCCAGCTCCGGGTATGGGGCACCGGGGGCTTGGAAGGTGCCGGGTGAGGCAAAGGCGGGCAGCGGGGCCGCCGGCAAGTCATCCTGGGAGGTGCTGGCTGCAGGGTACTGGGGGGGCTGCAGGCGTGCTGGCGGGAAGGCGGCGGGGCCCTGTGGGGCGGGGTATGGGTAGGCGCCATAGGAGGCGGCAGTGGCAGCGAAGTCGGGGTACTGCCCGGCGGGTGCGGGGCGCAGGCTGGCACTGTCGTAGGCGGCGAGGCGCAGGCTGTGCAGCTCGCTGTCGGACAGGTAGTCTCGGCGGTCCCCGGCACAGCGCAGGTAGGGGTGGTCCCGCCCGCTCCCCCGCTCCTTCAGCAGCGACTCCTTGCGCTGGGTGATGCCCAGCTCCAGGTACTTCAGCTTGGCATCGATCTCTTTCTCCTCCTCATCCAGCTCTGCCTGCTTCTTCCGCAGCTTGGTGGCCTCGTGCTCCACCAGCCTCAGGTCGCGGTCCAGCTCCTTCAGCAGGCTGGCCTTGGTGACTGGCGCAGTGGCCTTGGGGGCCAGGCTGCTCAGGTAGAGCTGGGAGGTGGCCGGGCTGGCCAGGGGGATGTGGGGCTCCTCGGGTGGAGGGCTGGGCAGAGTCCGCTTCACCTTGCGCGCTAGCGGGCTTGACTGCAGCCCCCCCACCTGCAAAGCCAAGGGATACCTGGTCAGGGGTGCGGGTGGGTGTCCCCCCATGTTCCCCCCAAGCATCATGGATTTCCTCCCATGCCCCGGGCTTGCAGCGAGGTGGCTCACTTGTGCACATGTTTCCCCATGCACCTAGGAAGTGGCATTTATGTAAAGCACAATAAATAGGATGGAAGTAACAGGCAGGGCACTTTCTGTGAGTAATTACCGGGGATGGCAGCTGGCCAAGCATTGGGCCGGCTGCGTGCGTGCTGCCGCATGCCACAAAAACGGCTCTCTGTCCTCGGGCACTTGGCAGCGGGGCTAGAGGGAGTGGCCGGGGACTGCTGCTGTCCTGGGAATTGTCCCAGGGCTCTTTGCTGGGCTCCTGGCAGCCCAAGGCAACCTCGGTGTGTGGGAGCAAAGGTGGGAGCAAGAGCTGCCACAACTATGCTTGGCAGCTGCTCCTTGAGAGGGGTGAGGGACCTGGCTGGGGCAGGGGACAGCCCTGATCCTGCCACCCAGCAGCAGCTCCTGCAAAGCTTGTGCAGCCAGTGGAGCTCCAGGGCCTCCCTCCGGCTGCCGACTTCGGTGCATGTGTCTGTGCTCACTGGCTGCCATCAGCTGCTGCGGGAAGCCAGCCTTTTAAAATATTGTCACAGTGCTAATGAAACTGAAATGTCCTGGGGTACCTCCCGGGGCTGTTCCCCGAGGGAAAGGTTGTTCCCCGTGCTGACCTACCTGGGTGCCAGGGAGCAGTGGGTGCTGGTAGAGGGAGAACCTGTCCTTTCCGGCCTCCTCGGCAGTGGGGCTGATTGGCTTGGGGTCAGAGAGGGAGCGCTGCATGGTCTTGATGGGACGCGGCAGTGTCTGCTGGCGCTGGGCCGAGTCGGTGGTGAAGTGCTTCTGTGGGGGGACGTGAGCCTTGTTCAGCCGCTCACTGGTGGCGAAGGAGGACTCCAGGAGGCGATGGGGGGACAGGGGGGAGACAGGCGAGTAGAGGACCTGAGGAGAGCGTGGCGGCTGGCGAGTCACCAGCTGGGAGAGGGACTCAGCTGGCAGATGGGACTGGTAGCCGATTTCCAGGGGATCTGGCTTCTTCTTCTCAAACTTGCCCAGGGTCTGCTGCCGGACGGCGTGGGGGTCCAGGGGGCCTGTGCTCACCATCTGGATGTTGGTGGAGTAGGGCGGGATGGTGGTGGGCACTGTCAGCTGGGGGACCACAACACCGGGCTGAGGGGCTGGCTCTGGCTCTGTCTGGCAGGCCAGGCTCTCGCCCCGCTGCGTCTTCTCCGGGGCTGAGATGTACTTCACGATTTCCACCCGGGGGTCATGGGTGGTGATGTGGATGGAGGGGGAGACACGAAGGAGCTGGTCGGGTTCCGTCTGCACTGAGCAGTCGCTGATGGTCTGGATGCCCACACTAGCTGTGCCGCGGGCCATCCCCTCCGGCTTGCCCTCGGAACCGGCCTCGGTGTGCCGTGAGGTCCGGTAGCGCCGGCGGCGCACAGGCTGCTCCCACTCCCCGCTGTCCTCCTCATCTGTCTGCACGCTGCAGTCGGTGCTGCGCCGAGCCCGCCGCCGCCGCGACAGCAGTTACCGCTCCTCGCCATCCTCCTCATCTGTCT